ATATGCAAAAATACATCAAGGATGCACAAGCAGGAGAGGATAATATCGATGAATGAGACCTTCTAAAGATTAAAGTGCCTGTGTGCACCAAAATCTTTTGCCAATAGGGTGAAAAGAAAACCTACTGACTAGAAACAAAATTTGTAATTAACCTTTCAGACAAGGGTTTCAAAATCAAAGTTTACAGAATATTACAGAGCCTCCACAAGAAAAAGAGTGATGGGCAAAAGACATAGAAAGACCTCTCACAGAGGCGGACATTCGGACAGCCAAAAGATGCATGAAGAAATGTCCAAAATTATTGGCAATCAAAGAAATGCAAATCAAAACAACAATGATATATCATCTCATCCAAATAGCAGTGTTAAGTTTAACAGGATAACAAGAAATTTTAGAAAGGATAAGGAGAGACTGGAATTCTTCCACACTGTTAGTGGGATTGTAAAACGATACCACCACTCTGAAAGAGTTTGGCATTTCCTTAAAAAGTTGAACACTAATAATCCATATAACCCAGCTATGCACCTGCTAAGAATATACCACAAGGAAAATAGAACTGAGACACAAAGGGAGATTAGTACACCGATGTTCACAGCTGTGTTATTGACAATAGTAAGAAAATGGAACTAGTCCAAATGCCCATCAACAAACGAAATGATTGAAAAACTGTGGCACATTAACAAGATGAAACACTATGCAGCACTCAGAAGCAACAATTTCAAAAAAATACTATATAACACAGAAGAGGCTAGAGAGCCTTATGCTGAGTGACCTAACTCAGTCTCATTAAGGACAAATACTTCATAAGACCATTATTGTAAAAATAAAGGATAATTAGTAAGATGTGTATAAAAGTCCAAATCGGGAAGGGGAGGGGGAGCAGTTAATCAGGGGGGCAGAGGGAGAGGGTGAAGGAATTGGGAAAGATCCTATGAGAACCTGAAAGAACGGGGTACCAGTGAGCATAGACCAACAGTAATTAAGTATGGGAATGATCATAGGAAACACAATGTGAATGAAGGAATGTATGAGACACAATGTTTATGAACGAAACACGTGACTATGACTTCTGTATGCAAACCAATATAAAATAACATCTTAAAAAATAATCAAGTCACAAGCAAGCCATTAAGTGCTTTGGCTGATGTTAGCTCTCCATGAAAGGGAGTTCCTGGGTGTACAGAGTTAGATGCTTAACTCTGGGTCTAGAGGCCCCTAGGTGGAACCCCTCAGAGATGCCTCAGACGATGGAATGTCACCTGCTTACAAAAGGGCACAGCCTCCAAGATCCTACCTCACTCACTGCCATTGGCTGGAACCTACTCATAGGTGACCCTCCAGCAGGTTTTCAGAGGTAAATGGCACGAGAAGACATTGTCCATCTATCTCCCACGAAGCAGCTGGTGGATTCAAACCACTCACCTTTGAACTGGCAGTGCAGCACCTTATCCGCAAGGTCACCATCAGACTCTGACTCAATCCAACTAACAGCTATTTATGAAAGACTTGTTACACACCCTTAAAAAAATTTCCTTTCTTTTAGCGAAACAAGAGAGCTTTGATTTGATGGGAAAAGAAAATGCACTGACCAACTGCAATATAAAGAGTACTGCATTAGAAGAAGATTCCATTCTAATCAGCCTGAGTTTCGTAAAGTCTTTATCTTCAAACATCGGAGAGATGGCCACATGAGCATCCACAGAACGATCTAAAAGGTGTGAGGTACAGGTAGTCAAAGGCCAACCATGTTCAAATAACAAGGAAAAGCAGATTTAGCACAACATTAGGGATTCCAGTCTAGTACACCCCCCAGATGAACCGTGGAATGACACCAAAGATGCCATCCAGGAAGAAAGCAAAAGGCCACTACAAAGACAGGGAAGAAAGAAAAGACCAAATATGAGGTCTGAAGAGACTCGGTAAATAACACTTGAATGTCAAGAAGCAAAACCTAAGGGTTCGTGAAGTAAAAGAAATGAACAGAAGATTTCAAAGGGCAGCATAACAAGACAACAGCACTGCAATGCAATATACAAAAAACTGGAGTGAGAAAACAGAACTTGCACAGCATTCCTCAAGCTTAAAGAACTGACAAACAAATTCAAGCCCCAAGGTGCAATACTGAAGGACGCTATGGGCAAAATCTTGAATACTGTAGAAGAATCAAAGGAAGATGGAAGGACTACTGAGTTACTGTACCAAAAAGAAGTGACTGACATGGCACCATTTCAGGAAGGAGTGTATGATCAAGAATCAGTAACGATAAAGGGAGAATTTCAAGCTGCATTGAAGGCAGTGGCAAAAAGTAAGGCCCTAGGAACTGATGGAATAACTGACCTGTTCTAACAAGCAGACGCAGCCCTCGACATGCTCATCAGGCTATGCCAAGAAATCTGGAAGACAGCATACCCAGTCAATGAACTGAAAGATTATCTGTTATCTGTTCTCATTCCCAAAAAAGAGGTGATCTAATGTGGAAATTATTGAGCAATATAATGCATAAGCAAAAGCTTGTTGAAGGGGAGCTCTGGTGGCCTAGTGGCAAGAAGCTGCACTGCAATCCCAGAGGTGCATGGTTCGAATCCACCAGATGCTCTGCCGGGAAAGGAGGGACAGTCTCCTCCTGTACCAGTCAGATCTGATTTGACGGTACACAGACACACAAAATAATAATAAAATAAAATTTAAAAAAAAAAAAAGCTTGTTGAACGTTATTTTTAAAAGGGACATTTACAGAGAACTGCCAGAAATTCAATGTGAATCTAGAAGATAACGTGGCATCAACCTATTAACACTGTTGCTGTCAAACGGATCATGGCTGAACGCAGGGTATATCAGAAGAATGTCCATGTGTGTTTTAATGACTAAGGAAAGGCATTTAACTCTGTAACACAACAAATTAAGGTTAACTATGAGAAAAATGGAAATCCCAGAATACTTAATTATGTTCATGTAAAACCTATCCTTAGAATAAGAGGCAGTTGTCCAAACTGTTACAGCAAGGGGATATTGTATTGTTTAAGATCAGGAAAGGTGTGTAGCAGGATTGTATCCTTTTTTCATGCCTATTACATGTATATACTGAGCAAATCATTTAAGAAGTTGGACTTTAGGAAGAAGAAGAATATAGCATCAGGATTGTAGGAAGATTCACCATCAATCTGTGTTACGCAGATGACACAACCTTGCTTGCTGAAAGTGAGGAGGACTTGAAGCACTTTCTATAGAAAATTAAAGATTATTGCCTTCAATATGGATTACATCTCAACACCAAGAAAACAAAAATACCATTAGGCCAGTAGGCAACATCATGATAGATGGAGAAAAGATTCAAACTGTCAATGACTTAATCTTCTTTGGATCCACAATCAACATCTTTGGTAACAGTAGTCAAGGAATCAAAAGACGTACTACACTGGGAAGAATCTGATGTCTGGGACCTCTCCAAAGTGCTAAAGAGCAATTATGTCAGTTTAAAGACTAAGGTGTACCTGATCCAAACCATAGTCTTTTCAATTACTTGCTTTGCATCTGAAGTTGGACAACAACTAAAGATGACAGAAGCAGCAGCAATGCTGATGAATTATAGTCTTAGAAAAGAAGTACTGAATGACCCACGGGTTGCAAAAAGGACAAGACTGACTTAGATAAATTACAACCAGTGTGTTCCTTGGAGGCAAAGACAGTGCATCTTTGTCTCACATACTTTGAATGTGTTGTCAGGAAAACCTAGTTCTTAGAAAAGGATTATCATGCTTGGAAAAGGATTATCTTGCTTGGAAAGATAGAGGGTAAACATTAGAGAAGACAACCCTCAAAAGATGGGTTGACGTGGTGACTGGAACGATGGGCTTAAGTATGTCTAACAGTGAGGATGACACAAGACAGCACAAGGGTTCAGATCTGTTTTTCATAGGGTCACTATACACGGCAATCAACTCACTGCCACATAACGACATCATCATTAGGAATATGAACTCTCCACACTGTTGCAGTGAGTAACTTGCTGATGTCATTCACATGTTCACGTGCAATGTCACGATTTACTGTTCAGAACACTGGCAATAAGCAAAACTGAAGTACTGGACCTATGTCAGACCCAACGTACAACTCAGTTACCAAAACAGAGCCCAGCAGGAAAACTATGAGGAGGTCTCAATGTAACGTCAGAAAAAATAAAATGATCTATGTATGTATGCACGTGTACATATGCATGTGTCTGTGCGTCAGGGTGCATCTGTATGTATGCAGGTGTCACAGAGTCAGCGGTGACTCACTGTGAGCCAACACGGACCAGGCTTAACCATCTTCACAATCCCTGCTGTACTAAAGCCCATTCCTCAATCTACTGGGTCAATCCAGCTCATAGAGGTTTCCTCTTTTTTGCTAACCTTTCACTTAATCAAGTACGATGTCTTTCTCCAGGAAGTGGGCCCTCCTGTTAAAATGTTCACAGTCACCAGCCTTGATAAACTGTCACCAGCCTTACTTCGAAGTGGCACTGTGGCTGCACTTTATACAAGAGAGACTAGACTGTTAGCTCTTCTGGCAGTCAACAGTGTATACAGTCTTCTTTGTCAAGGTGACAATTCTAAGGCATCAATAATTCTTCCTTATCCATCGCATCAATTCTTCTTCAATCTTCCTTATTCACAGCCCAACTGTCACATGTTTATGGCCCATGGTTTGGGTCAGGTTACCCTTGGTTTTCAACGTGACACCCTTTCTCTTTAGTACTTTAAACAAGTCTTTCACAGATTTTTCTAAAGTAATATATTGCATATGTGTGTCTATGTGCCACATACAACCAAGTCAAGCAAAAAAAAAGTTTATATGTATTATTCTCTTTTGGCTCTTTTCCCTTCTATCTTCAACAGTTGAAGCAATTACTTTTAAATTGCTATCTAATCATATTTGGCAGAGAACTGTGAAAAATTCCCAGAGAACAGCAAGCAATACTTTAGTGGTTCATGCACAATTGGTCTTAGCAGGCTTAGTACCTGATCAGTGGGGATCTTTGTTTCCATAGATACTGCTTCTCGAAGTCTGGCAACAGTCCCAGAGAGAGGCACAGCCACACCAATCCTCATGCAGTGAGAGCATTTCCCTTGATAGACTACAGTGACATACAGAGGCCTAGATAGATCAAAGTCAGATCTTCCCATTAGTCACTTATTTCAACTGAAATACAGAAGAACAGAACAGGCCTGATCGGAAAACAACCTAAAACTGAAGCTAACCCACACCTTTAGCTGGAAGCCAAACAGACCCCAGGAAAACCACCAAACAATAATTACAGAGATCTATGGGGGGAGGGGGGGAAACGCAATGCATTCAAGTTAGAATGGACTCACAGCTGGCTCGCCAATGGGTTTTCAGAGGCTGTAAATCACAATCACACAGGAGACTGCTTATCATTTTCCCTCTGAGCTGCTAGAGGTATTAAACCTCCTGCTTTTGGGTCAGCAGCGCAATACCCTGGTGGCATAATGCATAAAGCACTCGGCTTCTAACTGAAAAGACCAGAGGTTTGAATCCACCAACTGCTCTTTGAGAGAAAGATGATGCAGTTTCATCTTGTAAAGATTTACAGTCTTAGGAACCCAAAGGAGGGTCAAGGCATCCACTCAATGGCAGTAGTGGCTTTTTAATGGAAAAGGAGGAATCACAAAACAAAACCGTGAAGTAGCAAAACTCCCTCTAAATCAGCATGACTCCAGGAAATTCTGAGAAGCCACTCTAAATCAAGGAACTAATTAAGAATACTGAAAATAAGAGGACGGGATGGGAAGCTATCGTTCATGGGGTTAAGAAAAATTGGGAAACAAATAATAGCCACAGTTCCCAAATGAAGTGAACATAATTAATGTTATTAAATTAGCATCACATAGACAGGGTGGAAATAGCAAATATTTTGCTGCATTTATTTTAATGCCATGCATTTCAGTGCAACATAAGGTTCCTAGAGCCCCCAAGAGATCATCAGTAGCCTTCCCTCCTCCCACCCCCCTCATGAATGGTGACCCAGGTCAGACCACAGTGGCCTCATTTCTTTAGCGCTGCGATTATTCCAGCAAAAGTTTGACAACCACTGTATTCCGTTTCCCATTAATTCTCTCCCTATTTAAATAAGTATGCAAGTCTAATGAAATTCTACAGAAGGAAGGGAGTGCTAGAGGAATATAGACAGTCTTTGTCTTACTAAAACTCTTCTTACCTTGTGTGGGGTAGAGGAATTGGCAAAGAAATGCAGAGAAAAGGGTCAAAAGTGTTGCTCTGTTTCTGACAATGAGGACATGTCAAAGAGGATCTTCAAAAACAAAAATGTAAGACACTTAGATTCCAATCACCTACAACTACGTCAAGCAGACAAAAGGGGAAAATGGTTTGCTCCTACCTGTACTGGGCTTGAAAAAGTTCTTGTACAAAAGTGCTGCAGACAGGAAAGGATGGTCCCTCGGGCATTATATCAGTCTCTGATGGTGGCTGGGGAAAAAAGGAGAACTTGACAGATAGAAAAAGCCTCCTTTCTTGATTCCAGATGAGCCCTTTTCCTCCTTGACCAGATCAGTGTTAAGTGCAGATGCTTCCATGAAGAGCATGTGATAAAGGGGCGAGGACACAGCTGACGAGGTGTCAACCCTGCAGGTTCACCTCCACACAGCCTCATCCACAGCCAGACCCACACCTGTCACCCTGTGTCCCTGATCCTATTCAGGTAGCTGGACAGCTGTCCTTCCAGAGGATGTATCACTCTCCAATCCTCCCTCCGTCCACTCTGAGAATTCCTCCCAGCCAGTCTAGCACCCCTACTGCTACAACTGCTCATCTGATGCCTGAGCACCACAGTGGCTGCACAATGGGTTCAAAGTGGCCATGACCATGAGGAAGACACAGGACAGGACTGGACTGGCTACTCTGCTGTACACAGACTCACTCTAAGTCAGAACAACTCAACGGCACCTAACAGCAGCAATAATCTCACTCAACCTTATAGTCTGTCTTTTCACGTCTCCACCTTACAATTCTATTTACTAAGTATCTGTTACCATGTGCAGAGAGCACTGTGCCAGAAGTTAAGGACACAAAGATAAATAAAACATCGGCTCCGGCCTTGAGCAGTCTCAGTTTGGGGGTTCACAACAGAACGAATATCTTATCACTGGGTACAGTGTGTTCAGGCACAAAGAGATCTTGAATTAGTCATTTAACAATAAAACCAGAAGGGTATTTGTTGTTGTTTTTTTAATTTTGAAGTACAGGGCAGAATTACCAAAAACTTTAAAAGCTGTATGATGGAAGCAACTCTTTGGTCAAAGTTGTTTTTATTGTCAGAATCATTTTATCCGTAATATTAAAACTACATGTATAAACTCAGAAAGAGTTGTCCTATTTCTCAGTATGACTCCATTCCTGTGTTCAAATTCAGTCCTACCAACATAGACCTCCACTATCTACCTTTTGACAGTGAATTCACTCAAGCAATCTATAAGGTTATGTGTCTTACTGTAGGAAGCGAATGTGAATCTCTACTTTAAAAAGTTTTATGAGATGGAATTATTCATTTTACTCTAAGGCTAATCATACACACAGATGCCTCGCCTCTCCCATTTAACAGGAAGCTCTCTGGAGACAAGGCCAGCACAGCAGTAGCTATTGTTAAATCGCTATCAAGTTGGCCACAACATAAGGCCAACAGCATGGTGTGTAAAGCAGAACTGTCCCATAGGATTTTCAAGGTCATTACCTTTAGGAGAGAGACTGCCAGGCCTCTCCTCTCAGCTATTTCTGCGAGGGTTAGAACCATCAACTGTCATCCATGGTAGTAAGTGCTTAACTATTTATTCCATATCACAAAAGAGAAAACAAGGTAAAACAGCCTTTAAAGCAACCATTACGTTTTATTTCTTCTCTCACTGCCGTCAAGTTGGAAATGACTCATAGTGGACCCTCTGGCAGGTTCTCTGACGCTGTCAACCACAGGGGAGGAGACTGCCCATCTTCCTTCAGAGGAGCATCCGGTGGATTTGAACCGCGTGCCCCTGCCTTTGGGTTGGCAGCACAACTCCAGAGCCACTGCAAGCTCCATTAGTAAACTTATGCTCATCCAAATTCATTGTATTAAGTAACTAAGTGTAAAATGCAACAATTCCTTGGTGATGGTTTGGGAGAAGACTCTGTGTTCTGCTAACTCCACCCACTGCACGGCCACAAAGCCCAGGCAACGTGCGCACGCTCACCTTCAGAGGAGGCTGGCCGCTCTGCTTCACAGAGTGATTGAGGTCTTCGTGAACTCGATCCAACAGCCACAGCAGAAACTCCTGGGCATCATGCTGGGAATTGCCCCGATACTGCAGTGCATTCTTAGACACGATACTCTATCAAGGTAAACAAACCAGGATGAGTTCCTAGCATTTAAAGATCAGCTGTCTATTCACAACTTCAAAAGAGAAATGCAACGTGTTCAGGGTGTAGAGAGCAATGTAAAAGCAAACGCTCAGTCTACAACTCCCTCTCCAAAAGGTAAACACGGAGTTATCCTCTGACCTAGCAATTTCACTCTGAGGTATATACCCCAACGACTGAATGCGCAACTCAGACACATAGACACAATGTTCATTCCAACTTTATTCATAGTAGCCAACAGGTCATGGAAACAAGCCAAATGCCCATAAGCACAGGTAGTATAAATGTATTGTATTTATACAGAGGCTACTTCTTGGAAAAGGACACCATGTTTGAAAATATAGTCAGTGAAGGAGAGAAAGACCCTCAATAAGATGGACTAACACTATTGGTACCAGCAGCAAGGAAATCAAGAGACGGCATTGGGAAAGTCAGCTGTGAGGGACCTCTCCAGAGTACTGAAGAACAATGATGTCAAGCTGGAGACTAAGGTGCACCTGATCCAGGTTATAGTGTTTATAATTGTGTGCTATGCATCGGAGAGCTGGACAGTGACTAGGAATGATAAAAAGAAAATTGATGCTGTGGTCTTGGAGAAGAGTGCTGAATATACCATGGACTGCTAGGAGAACAAACAGTTTAGTCCTGGAGAGGGTGATGCCTGGCTGCTCCTTGGAGTCAAGGATTCTGAAGCTTCATCTGACATACTCTGGGCATGTTGCAAGGAGGGACCAGTCCTTGGAGAGGGACATCATGTTTGGAAGAGTGGAGAGACAGAGCAGGAGAGGAAGACCCTCGATGAGATGGACTGATTCAGTGACTGGGGTAGTGGGAGTAGGTATTTCAGAGACGATGAGTTGGCACAGCACAGAGTAGGGTTTAGGGCTCTTGTAAATAGGGCCACTATGAGTCACAAGCGACTCAACGGCACATAACAACAAACACTGACTACAGCAATGGCCTCAAGTGTACCAGAGATGATGAAGATGTCACAGGATAAAACAGGATTCAGATCTGTTGTTCACAGGGTCACTATGAGTCATACTTGACTCAACAGGATTTAACAACATTTGTAACAGTGGAGTATTATTTAGCCATAAAGAGAACTGCAATTCTAATATATGTCACTATATAGATAAATCTTCAAAACATTATGTTAACAAAACAACAATGAGATATCATCTCACCCAGTAACAAAGTAAAGTTCAACAGCACAGCAAACCACCAATACTGACTGTGGTGGGGAGAGACTATAATGCTCACACACTGTTAAAAAGAAAGTAAAACGGTACAATCACTATGGAAAACCATTTTGTGGTTCCTTAAAAGGTTTAAAATGGAAATACCATTTGATGCAGCAATCCTCTATTTGGCATATATCCTAAATAGTAAGAGTTGTGAAATAAAACAATAAACAATGTTTAAACAATAAACATCCTCATGTTTATTGTAATATTATTTACAACACCAAAGAGAGGGAAGAAATACAAGTGTCCAACAATCGATGAATAATTAAAGAAATTATGGTACATTCACACAATAGAGTAACGCTGCATAATGTGGACTATCTACAAGAAACTATATTAAGTAGTTAAGTAAGTTACAAAAGACCACTATTACAAAAATCTAAAGAAAGTGTGACACAAAGACTCATCTGTGGATAGTTACTAGGGTTGAGAAGAGAGTAGTAAAAATTAATAGGTAACAGATACTAAGTTGGATCAATGGAAAGGCAGTACACAAGGAAATTCCACTTGCATTGGATTAGGGCTATGATGGGATTACGGGTGTAATCTTTTAAAACTTCTTGGTTTGTCAGGTCTTAGCAGATCATTCAAAAACTTCGCCTTGCATCACTGATATGTATTTTGGGGAGATACTCTCAGACCCTACTTTCAGGAGTATATTTCAAGGAAAGCATCCAAGCAAGTGTATCACAACTTCTGGTGTTTAAAACTAAAAAACTTACAAGAATTTAAAAATCTTTAAAAAAACAATTTGGCTAAATAAACTATGGTACAATTACAGAGCAAAATCAGGTACTCTGGGAGACAATGGTCATGAAGTCATTAGTGGAAACTGTTACTGAATTCAAGTAAAAATTTATATATATATATATATATATATATAAAAATTTAAGTGACCTATCCCAAAATAGTGACAATATTCTTTTAGTGATAGAATTAGAAATTATATTTTCTTCTGATTTTTTGTTTTCTAGGCTGAACATACATTACTTATACAAAATAAAGTGGTTAAAATAGTTTTGCTTCCAACTTTACAAGGTTTGCTTAAAATGGGTTTACTAAGAGGACAGATTTGTATGTAAGAGAAAGGATAGGAGACTTTCCACCTTGTTTGCTTTGTGGAGGGAGCCAAGGACGACTGCTGAGAGGAAGTCCTGGTACAGCAGGGGCTATAGCATATTGCGTGGCAGATGGCTGGGTCACATCAACTCCAAGAGGCTTACCAGGTCCCCATTCAGAACCCTTTCTCTTATTTCTTTCCATGAGAAGAAGGGGGCTGGGGCGAAAGAGAGTTCTCAAGATATGTAGCCCAAACTCTTCATATTGCGTCAAAGGCACTATTTTTATGTAAAATATTCATTTCTATTTCAGAGTAGAGGCAATATTCAATTCTTTATCAGGACTGTATTACATTTGATGTAATATACTCAAATTACACATCACTTACTTACTAGTTACTGTATCTGCTACTAGGGACCTCTCCAGACTGCTGATAAGCAACAATGTCAGTCAAGAGACTAAGGTGCACCTGATCTAGGCCATGGTCTTCCCAATTACTTGCCATGCATCAGAGAGTTGGACAATGACTAAGGATGACAGAAGAAGAATAGATGCCTTTGAACTGTGGTGCTGGAGAATAGTCTTGAACATACCATGGGTGGCCAAGAAAACAAAGAGGTCTGTCTTGGAGAGGGTGAAACCAAGTGTCTTCGTGGAGGCTAGGATTCTGAAACTCTGTCTCACATACTTTGGGCATGTGGCCAGGAGAGATCAGTCCTTAGAGAAGGGACATCATGTTCAGAAGAGTGGAGGGACAACACTAGAGAAGACCTCATGTGAGATGAACTGATACAGTAACTGGGTGTTGGTGTGTCAGAAACAGTGAGACTGGGTCAAGACAGGGCAGGCTTCAGAGATGCTGTACAAGGGTTGCTAAGGGTCACAGGCAACTCGATGGCATAACAACAACAATTGCACTAGAGCATTAAGAAGCCAAAACAAAAGAGCTGAACAGAAGATTTCAAAGGACAGCTTGAGAGGACAATGAAAAGTATTATAATGGAATGTGCAAAGAGCTGGAATTGGAGAATAAAAAGGGAAGACCTCACTCCGCATTACTCAAGCTGAGAGATCCAAAAAACAAAGTTAAATCCTGAGTCACAATGTTGAAAGATGCTATGGGCAATATATTGAATGACCTAGAGAGCATCAGAAAAAGATGGAGGAAACCAAAGAGAACTAACTGGCCTTGAAAAATTTCAGGAAGGACCAAACACAAGAGGCAATGGTAATGAAGGAGGAAATGGAAGCTGCATTGAAGGCACTGGCAAAAAATAAGGCCCCAGGAATTGATGGGATACCAACTGACTTGTTTCATTTAACAGATAACAGTCCTGGATGCGCTCACCAGTCTATGCCAGGAAATTTGGAGGACAGCTATCTGGCAAATGGATTGGACGAGGTCCATATGTGTTCCTACTCCCAAGAAAGGAAACCCAACTGAATGTGAAAACTATCGAACACTCATTAATATCACATGCAAGCAAAATACTGCTGAACAGTACATAGATAGGGAAATGCCAGAAATTTAAACAGGATTTAGAAGATGCTGTGACACCAGGGATAGAACTGCTGATATCACTGATGGATCCCGGCTGAAAGTAAGGAATACCAGAAGAACGTTTATTTGTGTTTCACTGACTATGGGAAGGCATATAACTGTGTGGATCTTAATGAGCTGTAGCTAACATTGAGAAGAATGTGCATCCCTGAGCATTTAATTGTGCTCGTGAGAAATCTAGACCTTGTGTCTACACCTCTGTTGTGCAAACTGAGCCAGGGAACACTACATGGTTTAAAATTATAAAGGGAGTGTGTCAGGGTTGTATTCTCTCTCCATACCTGTTCAATCTGTATGATGAGCAAATTATTTGAAAAGCTAGACTCTATGAATAGGAATGAGGCATCTGGATTAGAGGAAGACTTATCAATAACCTGTGTTATGCAGATGGCAGAACGTGACTTGCTGGAAGTGAGGAGGACTTGAAGCACTTGTTGCAGAAGATCAAAGAATACAGCCTTCAATATGGATTACATCTCAATGTCAAAAAACAAAGATTCTTACCACTCGATTGATAGGCAACATCATGATAGAAGGAGAAAAGATTGAAACGTCAATCTTCTAAAAACGTCATCTTATTGTGTCCACAATTAACACCCTTGATACCAGCAGTCAGGAATCAGGAGACATACTGCACTGGAAAAGTCTCCAGTTAGAGATCTCTCTAAATTATTGAGGAGTAATGATGTGAGTTTGTGCATCTGATTAAGGCCATGGTCTTTCCAATCACCTGTTATGAATCTGAGAGCTAGTAATGAATAACAATGGCAGAAGAACTGAGTAGTCACTGAACATCCCATGGATAGCCAAAAGAACAAACAAATATGTCTCGGAGAAGGTGTGACCAGAGAGAAGATAATGAGGTTTCGCCTCACATACTTCAGGTATGTTGCTAGGAGGGGATATTCCTTGGAAAATGAAATGATGCTTGCAAAGGTAGAGGGCTAGTGAATGAGAGGAAGACCCTTGACCAGGTAAACTGACACAGATAAGACTGGCAATGGGCTATAATGCGTCAGGCAGTGTGAGGATGGCACAGGATAGGACAAGGATCAGATCTGTTGTTCATAAGGTCACTAAGGATTGTACTCATCTTGACGACACC